TGAGTGATAGTTTACATGGGACAACATCAGCTTTATAACATTGTTTCACTGCAATGATTACAATCTTCTCTGGGTATCATCATTCAACAGTATTTGCTTTCAGGCCTTGTTTTTTTTTGGGGGGTGGGTGGGGAGATATACACAGAAACACTCAGGAATATATAATAATTTATATAACCAAAGGGTACTGGCTGCTAGCACCCAGTCACTCTCTTTCTATGAGTCCAAGGCCCTCAGCTGCTCCCTCTCTCCATGTCCTCATCTCTAGTGCCACTGCTTCTCTAGATAGCACACTCTGCTTGCGCTCTTCTACATTGATGGTCCTAGGGTCCTCTATTTCTCTACTGTAAGATTAGCTTTTCCCTTGTTTTTATTAAAAAACTTCTACCTTTAACTCTGGGACCATCAATGGAGAAGAACGAAGAGCGGAATCCTACCCAGAGAGGTAGTGAGGCCTGGGATGGAGGCAGAGAAGACAACGTCAAGAGATGGTGGGGCTGGGGGCTCAGGATCAGGAGATGGAAAGGGGCTGAGGACTGTGGTGGTGGGGGTGCAGGTTTACAGAGTACACCCCTTGGTTGGGTGAGGATGCATGGACAGGATGATAACTATGCCAATGAAATGATGGATGATGGAATGAATGTACAGCTGATGTTCTCCCATGTAGACTATCACACAATTCACAATAAAACATTAAAAACAAAACAAAACAAAACAAAAAAACTTCTATCTTTACAGTTGTGACAGTCGCATTTAGTCATGTTAACAATTACTCACTATTGAATCATAAGAATTAAATAGGTCTTTTGTAGCAGATTTGCCCGATGCAGTGCATCATTTGATTTCTTGACTGCTGCTTCCATGAATGTTGATTTTGGGTCCAAATAATCTTTGACAATTTCAATCTTTTCTCTGTTTACCATGATATAATGTTTTGGTTCAATTGTGAGGATTTTTGTTTTCTTTATACTGAGTTGAAATCTTCACTGAAGGCGGTATTCTTTCATTTTCATAAGCAAATGCTTCAAGTCCTCTTTGCTTCTAGCAAGCAAGTTTGTGTCATCTGCACAGCACAGGTTGTTAATGAGCCTTTCTTCAATCTTGATGCCATGCTTCTCTTCATATAGTCCAGCTTTTCAGATTATTTGCTCAATACACAGACTGAATCAGTATGGAGAAGGATACAACAGTGACACATACCTTCCCTGATTTTAAGTCATTCATTATACCCTTGTTGTGTTTGAATGACTGCCTCTTGCACAGGTTCCTCATGAGCACAATTCAGTGTTCTGGAATTCCCATTCTTTGCAATGTTATCCATAGTTTGTTATGCTCTACAGGATCAAATGGCAAAGTCAATAAAGCACCAGAAAACATCTTTCTGTTATTCTCTGCTTTTAGTCACAATCCATTTGATGTCAGTAATGATATCCCTGGTTCCATGTCCTCTTCGGAATCTGTCTTGAACTTCTGGGAGCTCCCTGTCAATGTACTGCTGTGATCATTTTTGAATGACCATTAGCAAATTTTTACTTGTATGTGATATTAATGATATTGTTCAATCATTTCCACATTCTGTTGGGTCACCTTTTTTTTTGGAATGGGCACAAAAAGAAGACTATGGACTTGAGCTAAGTACTTAACTTCTCTGAGTATCCATTTGCTCATTTATAAAGCAGGGAAAGATTATTTCTTACATAGAACTGTTAGCCTCAAATAATGCCAGACACACCATACACCCCCTCATGAAGTTTATAGGCTAGTGGGGATGTACTTGAAACCTTGACTGCTGACTCCATAGTCTACCAATCTGTTCAGTGTCCCTAGAATGTTAGCGTCATGCTTCCTAAACTGGCTGGAAAAAACTGTTCAGGGACAGTGCGTGGGGGAGGGTTACCTGAAACCATTTGATGCATCCTCCTGGACATTCATTTTATTCAAAATTAATTAAAAGCATGGTTTTTGTATTTATTGAGAGTGGAATCAAGAAGTTGCCTGACAAATGTTGTATTATATATATTTTTATAGCAATTAAAAAAAAAACTTTAAAAAGAAAAGTGCCTGAAGTTTTAAATGATGCTTTGGGCATCAGGATAGGGAGAGCCACTGGAGACCTTGTGGTTGGGTAGAAACCATGTTTTATAGGTGGGAACCTGTAGTGGTACAGAGAGTATCAAGACCTGATCTATGCATCCTGTGAGGGTCCTCTCTGGTTCACACAGTGAGTGTCACAGGGGACTCAAATCTGCTTCTCTCAAGTCCCCTGACCCCTGCAGAAACAGCAGGAGTTTGTTCTCCTTTCCCTTTGGAGGGGAGGGTGAAGCCCTGAGACTAAAGCCTGTAGGAGGGTCCTGAGCCCTAATCACACCCTTCTTGCTCCTAACATTACCCTGACCTTGGACCACCCTGCCTGTCCATCAGCTCCCCTCCCCGTTCCATCTGAATACAATTATAGTAATTATACTGGGATATCATTATCCAACTATACATAAAAAGGTAACTGCTTCTGAGCATAATTACAGGAGATGTTTACAGACCCACAATCACATCAGAGTAAATGATAGCTTCCTTTCCTCTCACTAATACTCCAATATTAGGAACCCATCAGGGCCAATTAGCTAAATCCCATCAGAGCAGGGATGGGAAAGACCTCACACTCTCCCTACTACCTGCAAATCAAGGCTCCTTGCCAGCATTTCCTAGGACACCAAGAAGCCTGGAGAAGGGGAGCCCAGCAAACAAGCTAATTCTGACCTATGAACAATTCTCTGGGTCAGTATTAAGATTCCCACTTTACAGATTTGGACATTGGTTCGGAAAGGCCTTGTGTCCACAGCAGACAGTGGAGCTGGGCCAGGGCGCTTTCCTAGATGCTGCCGGGCCAGAATAACCTTCAGGCACCCAGCCAGGCCGCTCTAAGTCCCCTACTCAGGCTTCTCATCGCCTGTACTCACAGCTTCCTCTTCCCGTTGCCCCTGATCGCCTCCCGCGCCCCGTCCACCCTCATAGCTCCCCAGCGTCCACGTTGCCTTCTCTTGCCTCCTCTGCCCCTTTTTCCTGTGGTTGTTGGGCGGTTGGGTGTTCTCTCTTAAGAGGGGATTGCATAAGAGGAGGGCCGTAACCAGGCATGCGGAGCTCCCATCTATTCCCCTCACCCCCACCCGATGCGTCTCCCGGGGCTCGGCCGCTGGGTGCGCCGACCTTCGGCTTCCACCCACCAGTACACACGAAGGTTGTCCGGGTGTGCGCGGGAGAGCGCGCTCGCACCCACGCAGAACTGCATAAAGACGTGCACACCTCTCCATCCTCACAAATACACTCCCCAACAGGCCAGCGCACACTGCCGTGTACATGCACCGCACCAGCATACAGTCTCGCGTGCACACACCTTACGTATTCCCACGCCAGTGGGCACACCCACGCACACCCACATACACACACGCACACAGTTGGGCACGCACCCTATACACCAGCGAATGCAGACCTCAGGATCCTGACGTGCACAGCTGGCCTGCCCTCGCGCCTTACTGGGCGGTGCGCGCTCGCGCGCGCGCACATGAACACACACACACACACTCTGCACCGCTACACGCCCCTGACTCGAGCCCGGGCTCTGTGCAGCGCTACTGGACTGCAGGCGGGGACCGCGACAGGGGCGGAGGCGACGGCGGCGGCCAGGCAAGCGGAGGAGGCGGAGCAGGCGGCCGGGAGCGGGCTGGCCCGCGCTCCTCCTGCCGGCCGGGGATTTTCCAGCCCGGACGCTGACGCCGCGGACCTCCCTGCGGCCGCCGCAGACCATGGGCGACAAAGGGACACGGTGAGTGCGACTGGCGGCCTGGCTCAGAGAGCGTGGGGGCGGCCTGGGCGACAGCACGGGCGGGGGCTGTAATCCGCGTCCTGGCGCTGCTCACAGTCCCCCCAGGACCGCAGACGCCTGGCGCCGTGGGACCCTGCTCACCACCGCCAGGGGTCTCTTGCGTGATCATTGGCAGATGAAACAAACCCTGGACGGGGGTACCCAAAAGGTGAACGCCGCGCCGCCCTGGCTTCCTCTTGACTCCTAGCTCAGACACACACATACACACACTCATGCGCTGACACCCTGCACTGGTCGGCAGTTGCGAATATGTGGGGCAGGTTGACACACAATGACACACATTCATGTGGACACACGCCGCACACTCGCTCATGGGCACACTTAAACCGGCACACACAATGACATTTGCTGCTTCACACTGTCACACACACTCCTTGGTACACACATGCTGGCATATGTGGGCACACACTTAAACATTGAACCACAAATCCACTCATGCTGGCACACATGTATTTGCACTTAGTGGCGCGCACACACACACACATTCATTTACACTCTTTGTAATACTTTGGCTAGCACACGCATTGTCACCCTCACTGACCACACACACTTGTATTGACACATAGCTCACTAACACTGTGGATCGTAAAACCACACCAACACTGACCCACACAGACACACATCAGACTGATGCCCACACAGACTGGCACTCACAGGCACAAGCCACCGACCACGGCGCTGCTGACATACTCCTTCCAAACCCCACATGGTGAGAAATGAAAACACACTCACATCACAGAGTGGGGGTGCCTCTCCTGGAGCCTGGAAAAAGCAGGTCCCAGGGTCACTTTTCTTTCCCTCTGACCTCCTGAGATCTGGAGTGACTGGCCAGGATCTGATTTGAGGGAAGGGTGCGTGGCTCCTATTTCTTAAGAGCCTGCTTTAGGAGATTTGACTAGGAAAGGGAGAAGCTATACCTCTGAAATGGGAAACTGGGGCAAAAAGGAGGAGGGGTTCAGGGAGCATGGGGGCCTTCAGGACCACAAACAGTAGTCTGGAGTTCAGTTTTGTCACCCTACTTCGATTTGCTCCTTCTACCTCTTTGGGTTCTGATAGGAGCCTCTCCTCGTCTCCTCCTCTTACCACTTTTTGCAATTCCTTGTTTCAATTTTTCTTTCTTTACCCTCTTCTATCCTTGTGACCTACTTCTACCTCCCTCCATTCTCCTATCTTCAACCCTCCTTCCCTTTCTCTTCTTGCTCCCAACAATAATTTATTGAGAACTTCCTTTGTGCTAGGGATGGTGTGGGATTAAAGACAAGCAGAGACAAATTCCTTTCTGGAAGGAGCTAAGAGACTAGAGAGAAACCACACTAGCGGTTGTCACATTCCGGGACCACTGACAAAGCAGTTTCTCACCCTCTGCCTTTTGAGACTCAACAGCAGGAGAAAGTTCCTCCAGAAATGATTTCCGTTTTCAGGAAGAAGAAACTGAGGCTCTTAACGTTTACACACTGCTTCCCAGCCATTTTACTGACAGCTCTTCCAGGAGGTTAATTTTCCTCTTCCTATTTTCCGGAATATGAACAAGAGTAACAGAGAATTCTCCTGACTTACCTGAGGTCAAGAGGGGTCAGAGGCAGGGCAGAGACTGGAACTCACCTGCTCTAAAGCTCACTTGTAGAAACTGCCAAGCCTCTCACAGGGCCCTGGGGTTTGGAGCCAAGGTGGGGTATCTTGTTTGTGCATGGAGCTTAGGCATCTGCATTCACCTTGATGGCTCCTCCCCATGGAAGTGAGTTTGGTCCACACTGTGGTCCAGGTGTCTGTCCTCAGTAGGAGAACATGTTGACTTCTACCCTGAGGTCTGGCTCTTCTCCCTGCTGGATGTAGTGGGAATCAGGAGATCCAGCTCTTCTCCTGCCGAATGCCTGTGCAGTTTCATGATCAGGGTGACTCAGCCCATCTTGGGTCTTGGTTTGCCTCTTGGTGACTTGGGGAGACGTGTCATTGTTTTCCTGCTGGAATGGATCACCACCAGAAGCAGCTAGGCCCCAAGAGGCACCTGTTGGAGACCCTATTTCTGGGGCCAGGGCTTTTTCCATGATTCCCTCTGGTTTTCCTCTAACACACTGTGGAATCTTGGGGACCTTGAGAGATTGTCTTTACTTTTCTAGACCTTGGTTTTCCCATCTGTAAATTGGAACTGTCAGTTGTGCTTACTGAATTCACAGTGTGTGAATTCCTGCGCGTTACTGAATTCTCTGGACAGGAAAAGTGGCATTGGAGCAAGGCCTAACTCCACTGGAGCAAGGCCTAACCTCCCCAGGAGGTCTGTCTCAACAGTTCCAGACAGGTTCTCTGAGTAATTTGAAAGAGAAAGGCAAAATCAATAATAGGCTGTCCCCTGCCATGTTTTGTGAACTTATCTATCACTTAGGAGAGGAAACTGCAAACATTCATATATTTCAAGGATCAAGAGTCATTACATCTATCCCCCAACTTTAGAGTGTACCCCCTGTATGAAAGTGATAATGAAAATTAACCAGAAACTGTCACTTTCTACTTGGAACTCCCAGGGTCAAAGAACAGAGAGGGGATGAGACAAATACTTGACTAGGTCTAATAATACAGGGCAGGTAGGATGACGATTGCTCTCCAGAAGCAATCATACATTCCTTCAACAAATGTTGACTTCCAACAACATTCTGAGTGCCAGAGCTTGTGGGGTCAGAGATGACCAGCTCTCTTCTACCTCCAAAGCAGGTGATTATAATGTAGGGTGACATGGGCAATGGAAGGCCTAAGGTGAAGTTCCCAAACCAGACCTGGGCAGAGAGCATGGTGAAGGAACATTCATGGGAAGGAGGTGGCATGGAAAGGAACTACTGAATTTTCTTAGATGGATGGGGAGACCAAAGGAGTGGGAAGGTCCTTCCTGGCTGAAAGGGTGGATGTGCGGAGGCCTGGAGGTGTGAAGCAGCACCTGCAGTCTTGGGGCTGTGCTGGGGATGATGGAAGATGTTTAGGAGGTAAACACAGCCAGTCACCAATAGCCTGGAATGTCAGACTAAGAAGAGAGGATTGTCTGCTGAAGTCATTGGCAATTCAAAGAAGCGTATGAGGCAGGAGAGGGGTAAGAGCAGATTTTAGGCTCAGAGAGATGCCTTTGGCAGCAGCAGGGAAGGTAGATGGGAGGAGAAGATAAGAAGTAAGGGGTCCAGTGAGGAGGCTGGGAGGGAATCTTAAAGACGATATGATCTGAACTAAGGTCGTGGGGAGGGTAGAATGGAGAAGAAATATTAAGGAGGTGGAATCCTTTAGCGTTCCTGTGTCGCATCTCTGGTATGTGTCCTAAAACAAACACACTGCCATCAAATGGATTCTGACTCATAGCAACCCTGTATAGGGTTTCTGAGGCTGTAAATCTTTACCATGATCCAATTCAAGCAGAAATTATTGTTCCCATTTTACAGATGGGAAACAGACTAAGAGAGGCTAGGTAACTTGCCCGCTGTCACTCAGCCAGTGAGTGTTGGATTTAGGTTTGTCTGCCCACAGAATGCTCTCTGCTGGTCCACACTTTCACCCCAAAGAAGGAGAGCTTATCTGGCTTACAGTTGGCCTACCATTTTACCCATAGCCACAAGATGTTCATCCCTTGTGGGATATTTCTACCAACTCCATTGGCAGCATGAAGGATTAGATTTAGACAACAGGAGGAACTTCCTAAGAGGCAATGGGATGGAATGGAATTTCCTTTCCTACAGATGTTTATGAATTCTTCTTTTTCTGGGAATGGGGAAGAGGGTGGATGTGCTGGGGACATGTAATCACTAGCTCTCTGTGAACCTTGGCAGTCTTTTCTCTTGGCAGCTATGTCCAGTGTGACCTTGGCTAGAACGTGGGGAAGTCCCATGGCTTTGGCCAGAGCTGCTCCTGGGATGGTTAGGAGTCTGAGCATAGAGCCTGGCCCACCTCTCTGATCCCTAATTCCAGGCTGGCTTCTGTACCTAAGACTCTCCACAGCTCTCTTCCTTCCAAGTTGGACCTCCTTGCCAAAGCCTTCCATTGGCATGGGTTTTCAGGGATCCTGAGCTTGCCACTTCCAGGGTTGGTTACAGCGCACCTCAGGGCTGCAGTCATGGGAGAACACCAACCTGGGGGTTAGGGCCTCCTGCCTTTGCTAGGCCACTCTCTACTGATGCCGGAGTAACTGTGCTGACCACTTCACTAAGGCCTACATGGCGGGAAGGATGACTAGAGAGCCAAGGCAGTCGGCTTTAGACTGTTGGGGAAGGTTTAGCGAGGAAGCCGCATCGAAGGGTCTGGATCTCAGAGTGAGGGTAAGGGAATTGAGTCTGTAGTCAAGAGATGGTAGTTGGCTTGGAAGGATGTATGATGGTGTAGTGACAGAGTTGTTGTTGAGTATCGTCCAGTTGGTTCCAACTCATAACGAACCTATGCACAACAGAATGAAACACTCTCTGGCCCTGTGCCATCCTCACAAATGTTACATTTGAGCCCACTGTTACAGTAACTCTCAATCCATTTTATATACAACCTTCTTGATGTCCTTCTGCAGGGACTTGTCTGTCTTGATAGCATGTCCAAAGTATGACATACAAAGTCTTGCCATCCAGGCTTCTAAGGAGCATTCTGGCTGTACTTCTTCCAACACAGATTTGTTTATCCTTCTGACAGTCCTTGACTTGAGTCAGATGCTCATTAGTCCTCAAAGTGACATCTTTGCTTTTTAACATGTTAAAGAGGTTTTTTATTTTTTGCAGTAGATATTCTCAGTGCAATACATCATTAGATTTCTTGACTTCTGCTTCCATGAGCATTTAATTGTGGGTCCAAGTAAAATAAAATCCTTGACGACTTCAATCTTTTCTCCATCTATCATGATGTTATATATTGGTCCAGATGTGGAAATTTTTGTTTCCTTTACACTGAGTTGTAATCCACACGAGATGCTGTATTCTTTGGTTTTTATA